CAAATCAAAGAAAAAATAAACAAATTCTACTGTTCCTAATATTCTGTATGTTGCTCAAAAACAAAATATATTGTGTTCAGCGGGAATTTTTTTTTTTTTTTACCCAGTCATTTAAAAATAACACATTTTAGAGCTGTAACGACAATACTGTGATACCGTGAAATTTTTGCTTAAGGTTATCATACCGTCAAAATCTCATACCGGCCCATGCCTAATAACCACTCACTGAACCTTTTTATTCCATCTATAATATCTATAATTAATTACATTTATAGCCCCTCTTACTTTCTTTCCCCTCCATTTTTCGCCCTTTTTCCTACCCCAAGCTAATAAGTGGTTTACTCCTCTTACAGATGTATTTTTTGTTCTCGATTCATGTTTTAACACCTTTGCCGCAGAGACAACTTTTCTTCAGCGGACCGCATCTAAAGGTGTGCTCACTCATAAAACTGCTATTACCATGTCATACAGCATAGTCTTCATCCCATGCAACGAATCCAATTTCACATTATTGCTTGTGTAGAATGTGTAGCCTGATGTATTTTTCATTTCATCCCTCTCCTTCTTTCATGCCGTCCTCGGGAACCGCCATAGTCTGTCAAAGACATCTCCTCCTCGTCCTCAGCCAAAAGTCTAGAGCTCCTCACAACATCAAAGAAAGCTGGGGAGAAGGAGAGCGGGAAGGAGGGGTCTGCCTTGCATCTGGGTTCTGATGGAGAAGACGGTGGAGGAGAGGGGGAGGGGCAAAAGCGATTGAGAGAGAGAGAGAGAGAGAGAGAAAGGCAGGTATGGAGGGAGGGAAACAAGAGGATGAGAGAGGAACGAAGCCAACCAACCAGCTGAAAGAGAACGAGTGATCGGGGCTGTTTGAACGAGGCAGGGAGAAAAGGAGGGAGGAGGGAGAGAGAGAGGGTGAGATCGATTGTCAGATCCGAGGAAACAGAAGTGTTACTATTGCACGGCCACTGGAACGGTGTCTGCCCGCTGAGGATAGGCATTGGCTCCCAGCGCTCACCGGCTCGCAGGACACGCTCTAAAATGTAATTTCCAAAGGCCTAATTGTTGCCGCGGTGATTTATTTTCCTCCATTTCATTTTTCTTTCTTTTTTTGTTTTATCTGCCTTCTCTCTCTCTCCTCTCCTCTTTTTGTCGTTGTTGTATTTCCCCCCTTTTTTTACCAGCTTCTGGATTTTCCCGTTCTTTTATAACTGCTGTCATTCTCTCCATTTACAAAGGAAGGATCTACAAATAGCGGCAACCACAGCAAGACAGTAAGTGGGGCTTATTTCTCCTTACGCCTGTGCCGGGGGGATGCATGGAACGGGAGGCTGGTGAAAATGTGCGGTGGATGAGCGATGAATGGATCCCGAAAGGGGTTGTAAGAGTAGATGCTGGCTGGTGGTTTGCCATTCAAAGTTGAACCATTCAAATCTGGAAATATGAGCTATTGGGAAACAGAGGCGACATGTGCATGCGCTGTATCTGCTATACTGAGTGAATGATGTGAGGAGATCAGACTGGGCTGGTGTTTCTTATTATCTGTAGTTTGGCTGCAGATTCACTTAAAGCGCAGAAAGAATAGGTGAATACTGCATCAGCAGGTTGTAAGTTTTTCTGGATATGTATTTGAATTTCTGTGATAGAAAGAGCTTGGCACAGAAAGAGATCATCATAATGATAAAAATGACAAGTGATACAAATCATTTCCTGGCAGAGAGTGTAATAATGTTTTTTCTCCTCCTCTATATTTTAAAGGAAGAAGCCTGATATGCAGTATCCTGTCACTCCCTGAAACACACCCACCCACATACATTGGCATGCATGCAGACTCACTCACCTAGCAGTGCTAACGGACTGATCTGCAAGCATGGCAGCTCTCTCATATGATTGCATCTCTTAAATGCCACATCAGTTTTCTTTTCTGTTCACTGCCTTTTGTCTTTTTTTTCTCGTAAGCATATGCAACGCATAACAGAATTTGCTGTTAAAGGGATAGTTCACCCAAAATGAAATTTCTCTCAATTAGTCACTCTCGTCATTTCAAATTTTTATGATTGTCGTTATTGTATGGAGCACAAATGGTGGAATTTTGAATATTATGGCGGACGCTCTTTTCCATGCAATTACAGTGAACTGCAGATTCAAAAAAAGCACCATTAGAGTATCATAAATGTGGTCCCGACTAGTGCACTGTATTCCAAGTCTTATGAAGCCATGCAAAAGATTCGTTAGAACAGACCGAAATTTAGGTTATTAAAATCTTTGTGCACAAATCGGTTCAGATTCATTAAAAAAGATCTGACTTGACGTGTTCACAAATCCACAAACACGCCAATGAGTGCTAGAGCAAACGTCAATATTTTCAGTGAGCTTAAGTTCTTTTATATTTTTGTTGCAAAGAGCTATTGTATAACTTCAGATGATGCAGAATATTGCACTTCTGACAGTCATATGGACCCCTTTTATGATGCTTTTGTGTTCTTTTTGAGGCCTTATAAATGCTTCAGATATGCATTAAATGTTTTTCCATGTGGAAATAAACTGAAAACAAATCGTACTGGTTTGGAACAATGTGAGAATGAGAAAACGATGGCAGATTTTTCATTTTGAGTGTATTATTTTTATATTATGTTATCTGGTATATGCCATTTATCCCAGTTTAATATTTACTATAAAATGTTGTGATTATAAGTAGGCTAGGTACTTTTCAGGTGATTCCCATTATCACACCATTCATTACAGATTCTTCTCCGCCCACAGACAAACACTGCTGCTCAGACAACCCACCGAATGCCCCTTAGGTAGACAGCCAACTCCTCACCTTACAGGCTAGAAGTGGCACACAAGTGAACCGACAAGCAAACATTCTGTCCTCTGCACTGATGTGAAGAGATCTTGAGACAGTGGCAGCGTGTCTGCATGTGCTGTTACACAGGGAGTGTGTGTTGATTTGGTGTGGGACTGTCCCCTGCCATTATCTGCTGAATCTATTATTAGAAGCCTTTGTTTTTCGCGTATATCCTCCTCTGATACAGTGTGCTCAGAAGAGGGAAATTGTTGCAGGTCTTTGCTGCGGTCACCCATAATTACATGATGTATGTATTTCTAGCCACTTGTGTGTGTGTGTGTGAGAGAGAGAGAGAGAGAGAGAGAATATATAATTATTTGCCAATAGTATAAGAGAAACAAAACCTTTCAAATATGTTTTCCTGGCACAGATATTGGGGCAGAATTGTGTTTCAAACATTTGAATTGTGTAATAAAACATTTTTTCCTCAGTCACACGCTGTCACAGCTGTCTCACGCTCTCTTTTCCCACACTCTCTCCGTCTTCCCTTTAAACACACACATACACACAGAGTCTCTCCGGTGAAGTGTGAGTGTGTTCGCTTCGGGGGGGTATGAGATAGGATGACAGAGTGGATAATCAGACAGAGGCACACAAAGAGAGTTAAAATTAGCCACATTGAACGGGCCATTAATACATCGGGAAACTAGAACGCCACTGACACCCTTCTAGTCAATGCTCTGGAAAACCCGTGAGAGAGAGAGAGAGAGAGAGAGAGAGACAACACGAGGGAGGGAAAAATAATAAGTAATGAAGCCAAAGAGAAATGAAGATCTGTGGTTAATTACCTCAAACAGCTGTTAAAAATGAAGAACATGTATGGCAGAGTTCTTTATGCTGAGAATAAAGACAATATTTGGAAAAAAATTACTAAATAAATATTTCCCAGTAAAATAATAAAATTTTTAAGTGTGAGTGTGTTCGCTTCGGGGGGATATGAGATAGGATGACAGAGTGGATAATCAGACAGAGGCACACAAAGAGAGTTAAAATTAGCCACATTGAACGGGCCATTAATACATCGGGAAACTAGAACGCCACTGACACCCTTCTAGTCAATGCTCTGGAAAACCCGGCCTCTCTCCCCTCATTTGCATTGCCCCATGCATATCATGCATACACAGGGATGTGTCCAGGGATGTGCAAAACCACTTATTCATTGATATATAATATTATTACATACTTGGTCAGGTGATGGCAAAGCTGAATTCTCAGCAACCATTACTCCAGTCTTCAGTGTTGCATGATCCTTCAGAAATTATATATTACTTATTTGCTGCTCAAGAAACATTTCTTATTATTATCAGTCTTGAAAACTGAAGTGCTGCTTAATATTTTTGTGGAAACCATTATACCTATTTTTCAGGATTCTTTGATGACTAGAAAGTTGAAAAGAAAAGCATTTATTTGATTAAAAAAAATCATTTGTAACATTTTAAAAGTCTTCACTGTCAGTTTTCATCAATTTAATGCATCCATGCTGAAGAAAAGGACAACTAGTACTGCAGGTATGTGAGAGCAGCGTCAACCACCCTGACCCATCCCTAGTGAAGAGTGAAAGTATTTCTTTCCAGTTATTTAGTATTTGTGTTTATTGCCTCTTCCACGTCTTCGTTTAGAGTACCGCCGCTCTCTTTGTAGTTCAAACACTTTTCTCTCATTATGCTTAGCAGAAAGATCTCCTGCAACGCATCCTCACACTTGTAACAGTGGATGAGGAGAAATGTTGACATCTTAACATAGTAACCGCTCACACCATTTCAGCAGGCGTAGATAAATGATCACACACTGACATAAAATCTACAGCAGGTGTGGACAACCTGACAACTACCACACAGTGGTGCATTTCCCAAAAGCATCGTTAGCTAACTATGGTCATTAGTTCCACTGAACTCTATTGGTAACCATAGCTGCTTTTAGGAAACGCACCTCAGAACAATTGTGATCAACGTAGTCTGATGTTCTTCTCACATTATCCTATGAAATGAGTAGATACAAATGTGCCATTCAACAAACATTTCCATCCTGAGCATTTTCTAATAACACGTTTGCCTGTCTAAGCTAATGAATGCAGGCGGTGGGTGCTACCTGGCCAGCATGGATCGATACCAGTGGATCTGTGTAAATTAGGCCAGCGTTGGAGGCTTGATATGGTGTTCACTGTTTCATTCCTGTTCATTTTACTCAACTCCTATCAGGTTTTGTTTGTTCTCTGTTCCATCCTGACTTCTTCGCTGTTCCCGACCACTTCCCCTCCTCTTCGTCTACTCTTTATGAAGTTTACTTCTCTGTCCCCTGTAGTCAGTGAGTTTTTTTTGCCCTCTCGTCCTTTTCTTCCTCTCGGTGTGTTTGCCCAGCAGTTGAAGATTGTGAATCTCTCCCTCCTCTGATATTTACTGTATAGGCTCTTGGGCGGATAATTCAAGCTTTCGGGATTTAGCCCAGTCGTTTTACGCACTTCCGCTCACGTTTTTTCTCCCTCTCTCATTCTGCTCGCGGTAAAGGACTGATCTGGGACAGACGGTCTCCCTTGCGCTCTGGCCTACTTCAGCTCTGTCCTTTCTCTCCCACCTCCCCAAACTCTCTCTCTCCTTTTTTCCACTTTCCATCTGTTTATCATCTTTTGCCCTGTGTGTGTCTCTCTTTGGTGTAAGAGCTGATGACTAGTGTTGGGGGAAGTTACTTGTGAAACTAATGCATGACAATGTTACGTTACTTTTACAAAAAGTTGTTACATTTTTGTGTAACTTTTTTTCACTGACAGCTGACTGATACTCTTTCTTCACCAAAGTAGAAGCACTTTGCTTGGCTTACAGATGTGGGGGGTTTTTTACATTAAAAATGCTTTTTGTGCCGTGGACAAGTGTATCTCCACTGACACATTTTGTGTCACATACAGGCTGTACTGCGAAAAGTGCACACTGATTGTCATGACAATGGCAAGATTTTTGGTGGCAATACCTGCGGGCTCAAGGCCAGAGTAGATCCACTGCTGCTCTGAGGCATCACCCAAAAACAGAGTACAGCTGGATTTTCCTTAAGCATGAAGCTTTAGTTTCGTTTAGTAGCAGCATTTGAAGATTTTATAACACAAATCTCACTGTGGATTGAAAGAAACTGCCAAGCTCAGTGCAAGTACGTTTACATGCACAGTTAATCTTCTGTCTGACTAAAACAACTTCAGTGCTTTTAAAATTGCACTAGTTTAATTTTTGCAAACATACTACAACTCTGATAATTGTCCCTTAAATTTATTCACCCTCATGTCATGGCATGGCATAAACCTGCATGGCTTAATTTCTTCTGTATTTTTATTTTTTTTATTTTTATAAGCATAAAATGAAATTCATTGGGGTCCAATGTTGTTTGGAACCCAACGTGTTTCCAATTTTGTGTGCCGTATGCATCAGACATTCAGCCAAC